AAAGTTATGGAGGAGCCGGGCGGTGGTGGCACACACCTTTAATCCCAGCACTCGGGAGGCAGAGGCAGGCAGATCTCTGTAACTTCGAGGTCAGCCTGGGCTACAGAGTGAGTTCCAGGAAAGGCGCAAAGCTGCACAGAGAAACCCTGTCTCGAAAAAAATAAATTCAGACTACAAGGTATGTAACACATCTGTCACCCCAGCACTCACGTCTGTCACCCCAGCACTCACGTCTGTCACCCCAGCACTCACATCTGTCACCCCAGCACTCACGTCTGTCACCCCATACTGGGTCTATAAAGAAATCCTGTCTCAAAAAAAAAATAATTAGGGGCTGGAGAAATGGGTCGGAGGTTAAGAACTGCTCTTCCAGAGGTCCTGAGTTCAATTCCCAGCAACCACATGTGGCTCGCAACCATCTGTAATGAAATCTAGTGCCCTCTTCTGGCCTGCAGACATACATGCAGGCAGAACACTGTATACATAATAAATAAATGAATCTTTAAAAATAATAATAATAATAATAATTAAAAAGAAGGAAGAACTGAGGGAATGACTTGGTGGATGACGTGCTTGCAAGTATAAGAACCTAATTTGAATCCTCAGAACCAGTGTAAAGCTGCATGCATCCGTAATCCCAGTGCCTCCATGAAGAGATGGGAGGTGGAGATAGGAGAACCGGCAGAAGCTCTCAGGCCAGTTAACACGGTATAAATGAGAGAGTCCCTATCTCAGTGTAGAAAGCAAGGACCAGTGCCTGAGGTTGTCCTCTCACATCCACACATGCTATGGCATGTACAAAGCCACACTCTCACACACATATATACAAAATAAAGAAAACACCTTTAACCCCAGTGCTCAGGAGGCAGAGGCAGGAGAATCTCTGTGAGTTCCAGGCTGGCCTGGTCTACAGGACTACATAGAGACCTTATCTCAAAAAATAGAAAAGAACAAAGGAAGGAGTTTATGGGATGGCTTGGTGAGTAAGAGCACTTGCTGTGCAAACATAAAGGCCTAAATTCAAACTCCCATCACCCAAAAGAAAAGGCCAGGCTCAACACTGGGGGCAGGGGGTAGCCAGGCAGGTCCTGGGAGCTCAAGGGCCAGCCTAGCCACAATAGCGTGGCTCAGTGAGAGACCCATAAAGGAACACACACACACACACACACACACACACACACACATGAAAAGTGGCTAAATAGTTTTGTTTTATATATATATAACCACAATAAAAGTGTATGAAATTAATGTTTTACCGCACATACACAAAATATCATTTCAACATGTAATCAATTTTTTTTAATTATTGAGAGGTTTTACCACACAGGTTGTTGACCTTTGCCATATCTCACATCTCCGTCTGAACTTGCCATGTCTCAATTACTTAATAGCCATGACACCCATACTAGGCTGAATTGGTCTTCGATCCTGTCTGTCAATATCTCTATCACTTTTGCCAAGCCAGTGCAGACTGGAAGCATTTCTGCAGATAGATCTATGTCTTCTGTGCCCCTCCCAAACCTACAGTCAAACCTGCCCACATCTCCCAGAGCCACTACCAGGATCTCCCGAAGCACTCCTCTGGGGAGAACAGTCTGCTGAAGGATTGCCACTGATTCTCAATATGATCGGACCCTCCGAATCTCCTCTGCATGAATTTGTATCTCATTTGTGTGTCGAACTATATCACCTCAGATGATCATCTCAAAGTGAGGGAGGTGCTGAGCTGGAAAGGAGGCACCAGGATGTCCTTCCTCCTGCTTCCCCTGAGGCCCTTCTTCCTCTTCTTCAACACAGCTGCCCTCTTCCTCCTCCTTCTCTTCTTCCTCCTCCTCTTCCAGGATGGTGACCAGCTCCTCCCGCAGGGCACCCATCTCCAGTCCCAGGTGACACAGCTGTCCCAACAGCTGGACATCCACTCTGCGCAGGTTCCCCTACAGGAATAAAGGAACATCATTGGTATGCCACACAGAGTGAGGAAACCTGCCAGGAGCTTCCCAGGAGCAGGTGCCAGCTCAAGTCTTAGCCTGCAGGGCCAGGGATCTCACTGATTCCAGGGGGTTCCATGCCATCTGCTTCTCGTGCCTCTTGATCTCTGTTTCTCTGCCTGCCGCACTGTCCCTTCATCTCTGTGGACCCTTCTTTGAATCTCTGTCTCCACATCTCCAGCTCCATTTCCTCACCCCTGCCCTTGGTTGCTCCCAGCCCCTATTCCATCTGAGGTCCTGCCTGTCCCTGAGCTGTCTCTGATGTCTACCTGTGCTTCTCTCTGGAACTGTTGCCATTCCTGACTCTCATGCTCTGTCCCCACCACTACCTGTCTCTGCCCTTGTTGTATTTTATTTCCACACATGATCTCAATCTGCAGCTTAAGCTTGAAAGTCTCCTGCCTCGGGCTCCCGAGTGCTGTATTACAGGCGTGAGCCACCAAGGCCTGGCTGATCCTCAGCCATGTCTATTTTTATTAATATTCACTCATAGTCTTCCCCCGCCCTGTCTATCTCATTTCTCTCTGGCGCCCTTGCACTCACCAACTCCTCCCAGATCCACAACAACGGCTCTCTGGCGCCCCCAAGTTCCGTCCCTGAGGACATAAGGGTCTGGCCTGGGTTCCCCTCTGGCAGGGGCATTCTTAGGGCCTGGGGGAGTGGGCCCAATCCAAGGGGCTCCAGCCCGGCCTGCTTCAGCTGTACCCACAGCTCCATAGTCTGAACCATGGACTGAAGAGCAGGAAGTAGCAAGGTCCAAGTGACCCAGTCCCCTGGGAAGCTGTGGGATGGGGGGAAGAAAGGGCGGGGAGGGGCTGGCAGAGACATCCCAAAGTCCATTCTCTGAATCAGCTGGCCACATTTTTTTTTTTTCTTTCTGGAGTCCAACCTCCATGATCTCACAGGGTCCAAAGAGAGCCTCAAGCAGAGGTCCACCTTCACACTGTTGCCTCTTGGGCTGACCCCCTCAGGGTACACGGTGCTTGATGCTTAATACCTGAAGGAGCTGGCTAGGATGTCTTCCTTCCAAGTCCTCACACCTCTCCAGCCTCTCTTTCTCAGCCTCTTTAGCTGAATGACCTTGGCCAGCCCCTAAATTGATCCTTGTCTGTCCTCTGCCAGGGCTCTGCCACCAGTGTGCCTGAAGAGCCTCAGTGTGGAGGCTGCAGGCTGCCATACAGCAGCCAGTTCTGCCAGCCTTGGACATGCCTGTATTGTTTCACTGCCAAGGTGGTCAGGACTGGAAAGTACTCTGGGTCGTGCTCTGCCTTGACCCTTACAAGCCCATGAATATGCCAGTGGTCCCTGGGTCCCTGGCTTAGAGCTCAGCTGCCCACCCTCCCACCCCCAGAGCCCAGACTCCAACTCTGCAAGTCTCAAATCTCAAGGTCATTATGTTCAGCACAGAGTTCCCACTTCGGATCTCCCCCACTGGATCCATTTCCTGTGGATGTTGCAATAAATCACCACAGTCTTGGTCACTCAAAACAATGCAAGGGGGCTTCAGAAATGGCTCAGAGGGGGCTAGAGAGATGGCTAAGCGGTTAAGAGCACTGACTGCTCTTCCAGAGGTCCTGAGTTCAATTCCCAGCAACCACATGGTGGCTCACAACCATCTGTAATGAGATCTGGTGCCTCTTCTGGCATGCAGTCACATATGCTGTATGCATAATAAATAAATAAATAAATAAATAAATAAATAAATAAATAAATAAATAAATAAATAAATAAATAAATCTAAAAAGAAAAAGAAAAAAAGAAATGGCTCAGAGGGTAAAGGTGCCTGCCACCAAGCCTGATAATCTGAGTTCAATCCCCAGAACCCACATGATGGAAAAAGAGAGCTTACTATTGGTGAAATTATTAAGGCCACTCCACGTATTTAAAAGGGAGGTTTATTTTGTGGGGTAACTTACAAGTGAATGGATAGTTTACAGAGTCTGGGAAAGGCATAGTGCAGTCCGGTGGTGTTCTCTGGAGAACTCGGCTCAGTCTATCTCCGGCATCCAGGGTCCAGGAACCAAGAGAGCCAGCGCATTGGGGTCTGGGTCTTCAGGGTCCTCTCTCAGCCCCGCCTTGTAGGCGTGACAGTTACTGAAGCCTCAATGGGGGTTGGAACTTCCAGGTCAAAGCTGGAATGGCTACCCACTACAGTTTACTCTTGCAAGTTGTTCTCTGACATCCCCCCACCTCCC